CTTCTCTTCTCTTCTCTTCTCTTCTCTTCTCTTCTCTTCTCTTCTCTTCTCTTCTCTTCTCTTCTCTTCTCTTCTCTTCTCTTCCTTAGTGAAATTCCTTTCAGAGTAGACCTTATCAATTAACTCTCTCTGGCTCACAGACCAGCTGTCAGCTGCTTCCACATCTGCCCAGCTGGGCAGCAGTGTTGATCGATGGCAGTGAGAAAATCACATGTTGAAATGCAAAGCTGCACAGAAGTTGTGCAAGGTGGGGGCAAGGCCTCTCATAGTTGTGAACTGGGAAATAAATTTATTTTAAGGTCTAGTAAATGTTTGAGTATGTCCTTTTTAACCTCATTGGCTCAATCAACCCTTGGGTATTCTGCTTACAGCCTTCCCCATTGCTTTGGTTTGTAAGATGGTGAAGGGTAAGACTTCAGGCAGAGCTTGTGATGCCTTCCCTCTCCTGAGCCCACCCAGCTGCCTGAGAGTGCTCCTGCAGCAAGGGCTGGCCCTGATGGATGTGCTTCCAAACATGCCATCACTGCACTCAGGGGACAGAGAGGAAACCAAGCAGACCCTCTGCACAGACCTGTGAGCCTCTGGGGACCATGTGGCAACCTGGGAGGAAGAAGTCAACCAAGCAAGCACTTTCCTGTCCCCAGGAAAGGCCACAAAGCCAACAGAAACACAGCAGCTTTAGTCACAGTCCTGATGGTCATGGTCCCTGTGCTGTGAGTTTGATGCCACCAGAAGGCAGATCAAAAGGGAGAGACATATGATTACAGTAGTTAAATGTGATTTTATACATGTAATCCTTCTTTAAGGCACAGAGCATTGTTCTTAAAATGACCAGATAAGGGGGTAGAGGGGAGGAGGGAAGGAAGATGAGAATCAATTTCTCATTTCTTGATCTGTTTTTCAGCGAATGTTAAGCAAGCCTTCCCGCTCAAAGAGCCTCAGGAGTTCTGGGTGGATTCAAGCACAAAGGTCTTGGTCCCTATGTTGTCTATCAGGGGGACATTCAAGTACAAAACCGATGCCAGTGGGACTTTTTCCGTGGTGGAAGTCCCCATCAGCAAGACGGCGCTGCTGGTGCTGCTGCAGCCCATCAATGGCAGTGACCTGGAGCACGTGGAGTCCCAGGTGACCTGGGAGTCCTCAGCCTGGCTCCAGTGGCTGTCCCCAAGGTAGGGAAGGGGCACGTGCACCCTCCTATAGTAGGGATGGATGGGATGGGGTGGGCCACACAGACCTGCCTGCTCATCCGGGCTCGGATCCTGCCAGGGAGGCTTTGCTACTGAGCACAAAGAGAAATGCAGGGGCCCCACCTCAAAGGCCCACTTTGGTGGGCTCAGCTTTTTATCTGGGAGTATTTCAAGGAAACCAGCAAGTTTCTTTGCATCCCTCCCACAAAGTGGGATGTTCTGGGGTTTAGCAGCAGACCCAGGGTGCGTTCACACGTGGAAACAGTAACAGGCACCCACTGTGTGCCCACACACCAAGCACTTGTTGCAGTTGTTTTCGCATGCCCGTTCCCCAGGACTGCCCAGCCACGATGCTTTCACAGTGAACAAGCACTCATTTGCCTCCCTCTCTCCCTCTCTCTGCAGAGAAATTAAATTAACGCTGCCAACATTAACACTAGAAGACATCTCTGATCTACAGGAGCTTCTTGCAGATATGGAACTGCCTGGACTGCTGGGAAAGGGGGCAGATTTCAGTAGGATAAGCAACACCAGTCTAACAGTTGGAAAGGTAGAGTGCATATCACTGGCATTCAAAAAAATTTATGTTTCCTGCACAGTTTCAGCCTCCTAAGCTGAATAAATTTATCTAGAACAAAGCAGTCAGAGACATGTAGGGGACACGCTTAGTAGGGGGCTGAGTATCACAGCATATGTTTTGGATTTAGTAGGAGAATAATGGTGATAACACAAGAGTTTTAGTTGTTGGCAAGTTGTGGGAGGAAAGAGTGAGCAGCTGTGTGGTACCTAGCTGCTGGCTGGGGTTAAACCATGACACAAGGGTAACAGGATTACAGACCAGCTCAGTGTAAAAGCAGTTATACAGCTTTTGCATGTTACGGACAAGTACTCCACATCTTTTTTAAACATCTATGGAGTGCAATGTGCTTTATCATTTACCCAGACTCTCATTTGTCCCATCATAATCATGCTCTGATGACTCCAGAATTACTCATATGTTTTTCCTTACAGGTAATAAATAAAGCCTTTTTCAAACTGGCCAGTGATGGAACAGATCAGCCAGAAGACCCTGCAGCACAGAAGGAAGATGGGGCGTACCTGGACATAACACTGAATAAGCCATTCCTTTTTGCTGTGTTTGAAAAGCAGTCAAGGGCAATGCTTTTTCTTGGCAGAGTAGTAAACCCTCTGCATGAGGATTAAATGGAAACACAGAGGATAAGAAAGGGGTGGAATGATGCACATTTCCCATCACTTTTTTCTTATTCATCAGATAGTTTTGTGATGTTGTTGAGTGCTCTACTTAGCTTTGAGATGAAGCAGTTAGTGTTTGAAATACAGCTTTTTGAAAGCTAACACTTTGCAACATTTCATCCTCGTTCATCTATTTCACGTGAGATGACTCACATCCTTCCTCCAGCTTCCATTTTATTCTTTGTCTCTCTTTTGCTCCTAGTTCCCTTTTTGGACGCAGTGGGGCAGGGCAGTGTATCGATGCCAGGCATCAATCTGAAAAAATAGATTGATAAGCAGCTTTTGCTATAATATTTTTATTTACGATTGAAAAGGACCTCTTCATTCTTTAAAAAGCTTTTTAATTGTACCATCAGTTTTGCAAGAGAGACTCCCTTTTACATTACAGTGAAGATTTTACAATTATCCACAGAGATTTCTAGCTTCATCAGCAAGATTTGCCTTTAAAATTCTGCCAACAGCACAGGCAGGCTCTGCTTGTCCCACTGAGACAAGATTTTTTGCCTTGGAAGCAAAAACATGCTTAGAGGAAGTTTTTCCTTTCTGCAGGCCAGATGGATATGTTCACTTCTTAACTCTATGGAAATGCTAAAAATAGGGTTTGGTAGTATTCATGAACTGTGATGGATAAATTCCCAGAGTCTGACAGAATTATCTCTGATTTTTTTTAGGTAAAAGAAATCCCACAATGTCTACTATTCCAGTACAATTCCATTTCTTTGATTACTTTATAACCTGTGAGGCATTTCTTACAGCCTTATAGCAAAGAAGGACATTACTGGTTAGAGTCCAATTCTGCAAACTTTAACATATCCAAACCATATGTTCTTTAAAAATAGCATTAATGGCAATAATATATATTAGTATAAAGAGTGGATGTGGTGCAGCTACTTGTGAATAAAATGATTACAGCAGTACAGTTCAACTCTTAACAGTCATAAAAATTTGAAACATTAAAGTGGAAAAACAGATTATTAGGTGACTCTTGAATTAGGAAGTGAGGAATTTGGAGACAGACCTTGGTACTGAGGAAAGCCTGGAACAAGGATTTCCACCTCTCATCTGTCAATTTATTGTTAGCACTGATAGCACTTAAAAATAACTGCAAACCTCTTTGGCAGACCATGTGAGACCGTGTATCCCGCAGTGCACAGCAGCTCATTATCATCCACAGTGGCCCAAATGTGTATCTAATCTAAATGCACTAATACCAGCAGCTTGATATCAGTGATGTGCATACATGACACATCCTTGTAGCTTCATGGAAAATGCCATAACGTTATAAATAAAATAACCCTCACAATACTAGGACACAGCATCTATTTATTTATCCATTTATACTGTATGTACTCCAGATGCTCTAACGTCTAAATACTGTACTTGTATTATACACAGAAGTAAATAAGTATGAACATGCAGGGGTAGAAAAATGCAAATAAAGTCACTTCCAAGTTTCTTTGCCACAGTTTGGTTGGGCTTTCGTCCATAAATGAGTTCTGGCTTCTGAAATGTGCTCCAAATCATCTGTGTTTTTAAGACAGTAAGTTGCATATTATCAAGCACTACAGCTGATGGTATAGCTCTGAGCATGAAAGAGGCAGCTTCATACTAATTTAAATGTTATGCCATTTACTTGTTGAAGTCAGAAGGTAGCATCATCTACAAATAAAATCTCAGACCATAAAATATTCCATTTTAATGAAGAAAGTGGAAAATAACAAGAGGGAGACTCTGGCAGAAAATTCAGGGAAAAATGCCTTTATTCACAGCTGATTCCAGGGCTGCATGCTGTGGAACTCCATATCCCTGTCCAGTTATAGGTAGAAAAACAAAACAAACCCATCAAACACACTTTTCAGAAAATAAATTTTGTGATGGAGAGCACCCCTCCACTGACACCCTGGAGAAGAAAAGGAAGAAGGAAAAGGCAGAGACAGGGAACTAAAAGTACACTGACCAGAATAAGGACTGTGAACAGAGAACCAACTCTGCTTCCTCAACAATGTATATTCTCCTGAGACTTGTTTCTGACAGCAATTTTACATGTAAAATTTTTATGGCATTTTATACTCTTCACTCTCCTCCAATTTTACCAAATTTCTCTGTCAGGCACACCACAATGCACATTCCAAGCATCCTAGACACCACTCACATATTGAGATCCCAAATGCAATCTACAGCCTAATAATCTAGTGAATGAAGCACTTAAAATTCTAAAAGGTGGGAGATTTGGAGAAAGAGAACAAAGGCAAGAATGAGCTTTTTAGGTTTCATCAAACAGCACAGTTTATCCCTGCGCATAGCTGACAATTTACTGACAGCTTAAAAAACAAAACAATTTTTAAAAAATCTGTGCAGCTTGCTTCCTCATCCCTCCAGTTCAACCTTGAAAATACAATTGTTGATGGAAAAGGAGAGTAAATATTCCTTGAGTGGTCCAGCCAAATATACATACTGTTAGTTATCTTTAGATGACAAGATTAGAACAGTCTGGTCCACTTCTGGTATAACCTACCAAGTTGAGAACTCAGTTACCATTTTAGAGGAAGACATGCCACTGGCTCTTTCCTCAATATTGTACAAAACCTCTTCCAGCTAAATTCCCAAGATTAGAAAGGCATAGCAATTTTTTCTACAGGTCCTACAAAGGAAGAAGAAAAAGGCACAAAATCAAAACTGCCTTACTGCCATGAAGTGCACTTCAAAAATTACCTAAGGAACAGAAGAAAGAGGATTAGTAGCACAAGACATCTCCATTGGAGTACACATGGTAGATCCTCTCCTCACTGATCCACAGTGTTTGAAAATACTAAAATTCAGTTTACTAAAGTTAATTCACACCTCTCTTTCAACGGGGGTATCACACAAATTCTTACCTGATGTCTCATTCCACATAAAGAAAATTGAATCCTATTCAAGAGAATAAAAATAAAAGATGGAGAACTGACATAGAACAAGTGATAGAGACATTTAAGGCAATCATAGGACCATTCAGTAATTTTGACTTGCTCCACAATGTTATTTCCTGCCCTGAAATTAAAGCTTGTCTTCAGTGAAAAAGAACAGAATTCAGCCTATATCCTCAGAAAGTTGATGAAGACAAGTAGGAAGCGTTGTTGTTGCAAAAAGATGTAGAAAATCACTTGCAACTCAAGGACAAGTAATCTTTCAGTGCCTTTTTGGTTTGGTACACAGACTACATCCTTTTCCCCAGTTTTGGACAAACAAAACTCCTGTTTTCAATCACTAGTGTGCACAGATATCAGAATCTGCTACTTTGGTGACGCTGTTGTAGAAATTTTATTGTATAGATATGCACACCTGCTGAAATGAGTAGCTGCACAAGCTGCAGAGTGCATTTACAATCCTACAATCTCAGTCTCAGGCTACAATTTACACATCCATTTTATAATAAGAAAACTGCTGAAAACAACAAGAACTGGGACGATGTGTCTACTCCTGACTCTTAAGAAAATTAAGAGGTGTGGGGAGACCAAGTTTTCTATGTTCATCTATTAGAAGCCTGGAAAAACATAATACATACACAAACTTCTTGTTCAGAAGCAGAAAGGGTTACATCCACTAAGTAGCGTGTGCCTAAGGCTGAGGATTCCATGTGCCTGAAGGAGACAGATTTGTCATCTGACAGGTAGGTCTACTTTGCTGTTTCTTTTTTCAGCAATTTGGATGCTCCCTCGATTGTGTATGTGCCATGAATGGAGAGAAGCTAAGCAAATTAGAAAAGCCAAACCCTGCTCTCCATTACCCAAGATTGAATCCACGCACTGCCATGTAATTTTAAGCAGCAGGACTTTCCTCACTGCCTCCCTTCAAAAAATTTGTGTTAGAAAAGTCGTAACAGCCACTTTTCCTAATTGCTTCAAAAGCGCCATGATCACATGGTTGCGTCTTCTCAACTAAAATATCATCAACTTCCAACAGTGAAGAATGAAAGCCCTCAAGCTGTGAAAGGTTTTCTCACTACAGCTTCACACAACAGCCATGTGCTACAAACCTCATATCTCCATATCACTTGGAAAATGTGCATAACCTGGGCATTAAGCCCCACGCACTCTAAATACTTTAGGAAGATACAGGTATTTTTAATTAACAATTGGGAACTAGAATTCCAGTGTTAAATTTTCACAAGGTAAAAAAACCAAAAAGTTTAAAAAAAAATCAGAACAACAAAACACAAAACCAGGGCATTCTCTGACTTTAAAGCCTTAAATTCACCTCCCACTATATAAGACTATGTTGCCTGTCCTTCACATATGAAAGAGAAGCATCAATAGGCATATCACTCTAGGTTCATGAAAGCTCTTTGTTAATCCTTCTACCATTTTAAACCCTAAAAACACTTTCAGATTTCCTGCTATATAAAGATGCATCTAGCACTGATGTAGCTACGTTTGAAGTTAGAAAAATTCTACATGTATGCAGGTGAGTTCTAATAGATAATATAATATAAATCAGAAATACGCCAGTCCTGAATAAATTCCAGCTTAGTGAAATAAATTTTTATTTGAAGGAAAACAGGTAGTCTGAATGTAATAACCTCTAAGTAAGATACTTGTAGTAGAAATTATTTTTAAAATTTAAAGTACTTTATGAGCTTTTGTCATGCAGCCCTTCACACCAGCACGGTCTGTGAAAAAAACTAAATCATTTAAATGAAAACATTCAAAACCCAAACAAGATCTAACCATATCCTATGATGAGAGAGGGCAGGTAAGTGCAAAGCAGCAATGAGAAAAGCAGAATTCTGTTCCTGCGAGTTCTTTATCCCAGGAGATCTCGAATAATGTTTGGAAGTTTTTGATACCCTGTAAAGAGTTAAAGCACACAGCTGCCTGTCTCAAACGCTGTCAAGGCTACAGACAGAACTTGCCATAAGATAAGCCAGCACAGCAGGAACTCGAGATAAGCACAGAAGGGAGAAATTTGTGACAGGAAGGTGCTGATTCCAGACCTGTCAGAGGTGAAGATCTAGTTAGCACATTCTGGTTAATGCATCTAGACTGTGGGAGAGAAAGCAAGTGCTCATACTCATATCAATGCCCAAAATCACCCTAAGTTATGGGACACACAGTCTGTGACTCTGTGACACCAACCCCGATGTGCCCCCAGACTCATTTCTGGGGCCTCCCACCAGAGGACTGTATATGATCCACAGTGTTAACATCAGACAGTGTAGAACTCGCCCCCAGGGGAGGTAACAGAGCATTCCCACCTCAACCTAAACATGCATGAACCCACTGAACTCTCTGTTTTGTGGGCTTCCCCCACCCCTAATGGATGAAGACCATGACCATCACTTTGACCAACAAATATCTAAAATGGCAACAACCAAGTCTTGTTGCTGGATCGGTGGATGGTGGTATCTTCCATCTCTACTATGTACTCATGTACTTTCTCTTTCTTTCTTTTCCCTATATATTTTCCTAAGTGATATCTTTATACTATCATATTGTTGTGTTTCTATAGACAATAACCAAACCAGCTATATACCTTTCTTTGATTGCAACCAAACTGCTCTAAAATAAACCATATATATATATAGATATAGCTCTCTCTCTGTATATATATAGATACATAAACGCTGGTCACTGTATCCTTTCTCTCTAATCAAGGGTTCTGCTAACAAGAACCTCAATTACTTTGCCTCTGGAACATGTAACACAGCCATCAATCAATGCATTTGATTCAAAAACACATGGGACATCAAAAGTTAGGAAGACAATTTATTACATATTATTTTTAACATAGAACTTCGTTCTTGTACATTTCAAGTTGTACAACAAAAATAAGAAAAACACTTTCTTCTACTTTTATTCTATAGTAGAAAGTTTAGAACTTTGATTGCTTTCCATATAATGGATAACTGATAAATTCTCAGTCTTTTGGTGATGCAAGTTTATCAAGGCAGAAGACACATTGATTTGCTGCTTGAGACACTTTAGGAAGCACTTCATTGCCATTTATTTGGTAAAATGAAGAAGAGTAAAATTCTCTCTTTCTTTCAGAGAGATCGTTTATCTCCAATGACATGCTTTCAAAAATATCTAGGATAGTTCCGTTGTAGCCTGGTCCTTGGCAGTTAGAATCAGCTCTGCAAGGGCTGAAAAGCTTTTTATGCTGCTTGTTTCCAGTCCCATCTTTCGGATCTAAAAAGATACAGAAAACCTATTAATTTTCTTTAAAACATTAAAACCCCGCTAATTATTCTACTTAAAACATTCAATGAAGCCTATGTTTTGTTCTGCATTGACATGTGGCAAAAACCACAACTGCATATACTGCAAACTATAAAAAATTTGCATCCAACTTTGTTCAGTGAAGTCTTTCCAGTTACAGAAGTGTCTTGCAGGGAAATATTTCACCATCTTCTAGGCAACTTGTAACTAAAGCCAGCTGGAAGTTTCCCAGTGAAGCAATGAGAAAGAGAAACTTGGCTGTAGTTGGTTTTAATGCATTGATTTAAGTGGATTCTTTTTTTCCAGCTCCAAATGAAGTTTCTGGGCAATACTTTAAAGATCAACGTGAATACATCCAAGAAGAGCCAACAGCATGACAGTGAAAGCATTTCAATAGGCTGCAAGAGCCTATGGTTCTAGCCTTGAACTTCCTGGGAGACAAAAACAACTCTACAATTACAGAGGTTGCTGCAAGTAATTTCTTAGCCAGGGAATCTACTGCTCTGACAAAAAAAGAAAAATATGGCCATGAAAAAACTAAGAGTGCAATGAAGCAGAAAAATCTGGATCTAACTAAAACCATAATGAAGTGATTCTGAAAAGGTGTTTGCTGCTGGAACTCTTTGTAATAGTCACATGTACCAAAACATCTTCCAAATGATTATGAATAATCTGTCCCCATTCAGCATAAATTCACACTGAATAATGGAAAAGAAGAACAAAAGCTCAACCCCAGGCAAAAACTGACAAATAATAGCTTTTGTTAGTAAGATTTCCACAGTTCCACCCAATTGTGATTCATCCCATATCCAAGAAAAGCATCTGCTCACACACAAGCAGACTTAATCTACCTGTTATAATGCATCAACAGCATCTGCTCATAAACAAGATCAATGACAACTCCTTGGCAACTAATGATTTGGACTCTTAAGCTGGAAGTTTGTTTATAGCTAGATATGATTTTTAGAAATAAAGGAGTACAAAACAGCATGCTTATACAATTTAATATAGCTACTGCATACATTTCCTGGAATATTTTCTTCTATGTTTTGCTGTTTAAAATTTCATATTTGGCATTGGAAAGCACTTACAATTGTGCAGCACAACAAATCAGGCTGACATCCTCACGGCTCTTGGGAACAGACCCTGACCACGCAGAAAGTCAAGGCTGGAAGCACCCCAACAGAAGGCAAACAAAGGAAGTGCCATAAAGAAGTTTCTATCAGACCTAAGTCAGGTCCCTGCCCTCTCATCTGTAAACAGTGTTTCTTCTTAACTTCCATGCTTGCAAGCACTGAGTAGTACTTGAATTTTGAGTAATAAGAAATACAAGCTTTGCATTTGTATAAAAAAGGAGAGGAAAGCATGCATTGCTAAAGTGGTATCTATAATCACCAAGGTCTGAAATTGCCTTCTTTACACAAATGTAAAAACACAAAGCAAAAACCCAAACCCACACCAACAAAGCTTTCAAGACCAAAATCTGAGTCAAGGTTCCCTTTCCTCTTCCATCTCCCTTCCGAAACTAATGATAAAAAACTAATTTCTCATAACTTACTTGTTCTCCAAAATACTCAACGTCTAGGGCCAGCTGCAGTCGGATTTTGTTATCATCACTCATGCCCCCATTAGTACCAACAGGGTTTGAAGTTGCAGTTCTTCTGGCTTGCTTCAACCTTTTTAGACTCTCTTCCATTTTCTTTACAGAACTGAGCACATCAGATACAGTTTCATAATACCTAAATTAAGGAAGGTTAATAAGAAAGAAAAAATTCCACTTTACAGAAGAGCCTACTTCATACACAGAAATACATCACTGGCACTGCTGAACAATGCCAGAAGGAATGGCTTCCCTTGCAAAGAAGCTACTTATTGGCATTATCAATTAATCAGTATTTCCATTATTAGTTCCAGAAGTTAACCAGAAGATTACTACTCAGTCTTGAAGACTCCTCATCACAGCATTTTTGACTTGTTCAAGATGTTTGTACTCAACAGTGACCAAGGAATGCAACTGCTCCATTTGAAACGTCAAAATCAGCCTCTCTTTACAATCAACAGAATATTGAGCAAAACTGCTTTTACAAACAGGACAGGAGTAACAGCCAGACAGACCAAAATCCACACATTTTTAGGCAAGTTACAGAAGTGTGTGAGAGCGCACATGTGCACATCAGTCAGAAATGCCTATTTCTAAAATGAAGAAACTGATTTAAACAGGAGTCTCAGGGAGCTGACAGGAGAAGTCAGAAGAACCCTAACCCTAATTTAGAAATGGTAGAGATAAAATAAAACACCACTGCCCACGGAGTGGGATCCACATTAAAGAAAGCATAGAATCAAACAAAGTACATACATCAACTACTCAGCAGCAAAAGTTCAAAAAGCCTTATGGACTGAAATCCCATGCCTAAGTGGGAAGAACATATCATACAAATGAGCAGATGCCCAGGACAGTGAGTTAAGAGTAAGAGAAAACAGAGCAACAATGGGAAATTAAAAGATCCATGAGAAAAGCAACCAGATTGAGCTATGTTCTGTAATTTGCTAAAATAACTAACTTTCAAAGAGCCTCTCTATGAAAACTATTACTCTAAGAATTGAAAGAGTTGAAAGAATCTTCCTGATGATTACTTTTAAACAAGGAGGCAACAGAAAGCAGACAAGCTTTTTTAAAAGGGTAATTAGATAGCATGGATAAAGAAAAACTGCTTGCCAGTGCCATGGAAACTTATTTCACGATACCATTCTATGAAAAGCAAAAGTATTCCAGTAAAAGCCAGTCGTGTCCTCTTTTCATATCTTGGTATTTCCTAGTCCCACTCACTTGTGATTAATTCCTACTTCTGTTGTACTCCCAAATCCTTCTGCCATTTTAAGCAAATTTAGCCCCCAATGATTTTTAGCTAGTTTATGCTCTTTTCTGTTATTTTTTCATTCAGACGCAAGAATGTATTATGACAGCAAGAAATTAATTACTTGCATTTCTATTCTCAATAAAGAAACTACAATATTCCTCCATTTAAGAAATTCAGTTTTTTGACTTATCCTTTGTCAGTGAGGATAATATATTTTATAACAAAATGATGAAAATAGTAGCAACAAATCATGAAGACAGAATTTGACAGAAAATTCTAAGGAATTAAGAAATGGACCTGCCAGTCTTACTGGTGT